GGCTGGGGATTCGAACCCGCCACCCTAGGTGTATGTGGCTGGTGCCTTAGCCGCCTGAGCCACAGGCGCCGAGCCAGCAAGTAAAAATAACTTTGAGTAGGTACAATTTTGGTAACGGGCTAGGTACGGTTCCTAGCATTTAATTGTATTTAACATTTATTGAGTACCTCATTGTCAGAATAGTAAAAGAAGAAATAACAATTTGAAGGCCAGAAGCAATGGCTTCTGCCTGTAATCCTAGCACTCTGGGAAGCTGAGGGCGGAAGAATGCTTGAGGACAGGAGTTTAAGGCCAGCTTGAGCAAGAGCAAGACCCCCTTTCTACCAAAAATGGAAAAAATTAGCTGGGTGTTGTAGTGTGGGTCTATAGTCCCAGCTACTCAGAAGGCTGAGGCAGGAAGATTACTTGAGCCCAGGAGTTTAAAGTTTGAGGTTGATATGAGCTATAATAATGCCACTACACTCTAGACTGGAGAACAGACCTAGACTCTATCTCAAAAAAAAAAAAAAAAAAAAAAAAAATATATATATATATATACATACACTCTGATACTCTTGGACACCAAAAATACCCTTATCTAAAGTAATTCTTTGTTAAAATATAACTGTGTTTAATACAACATTTTCAGGGTCAACTAATAAGAAACAAATATACAGATGTATACCAATTGCAAGGCCATCGCTGAAATTATGCAGGCCATCACCCATTATCACCATCCAGGCCAATGTGGCAATGCCAGCATCTTTCAACTCCTCCCGAGAGTAGCGCTGACTGTGACTGTGAGGGTGGTGGTTTTGGTGGTGGTGGTGATGGAGAATATGATGGTAATCATGATGGTGGTGGATGAGATCGTCTGACTGGCCGAGTGTGTCATGGAAATGTGAATGGCATTTATTCTTGCACCCTCGAGGTACATATTCATTGTAGACTTCTTGTGGATGAGCATGAGCTATCATAACTTCTTCTTCTTCCAAGACTGCTGGCTGCTGAGAATCAAAGTGGGAGGATTCTTGTAACTCTGCTCGTAAATACCCTTCAGGTCCTAGGGATAAACATAAAGGACATTGAGACAACGAAGCCTTCATCAGTGTGCATGAACACATTTCAAACATTCTCATTGACAAAATCAACAGAAGATGATAAAACATGGTAGCTCTTTCATTTCTGCAGAACTAAACATTAGAACATTTATTGACAAAAATTATCAATAGTCTGTAATGGATTTTAGAAAATGCCTATCTTTGGGCAGTGCCTGTGGCTCACAAGGGTAGGGCACCGGCCCCATATGCCAGAGGTAGTGGGTTCAAACCTAGGCCTGGCCAAAAAGAAAAGAAAAGAAAATGCCTATCTTCAAATATTAAGAATGAATCTTATTATTTATTGATTTAGAGACACGGTCTTGCTCTGTCACCTAGGCTGGAGTGCTGTGGCACAATCACAGCTCGCTGTAACCATGAACTCCTGGGCTCAAGCAATCCTCCTGCCTCAGCTTTCTGAGTCTCTGGGATTATAGGCATGAGTACTGTGCCTGGCTAAGAATGGATTTTACACATTAACCTTCAATAACTACCTCCCAGATTCAATCTCTAATTCTTCTGCCTCCTTGTATTTTTTTTTTTTTTTT